CTACCTGTCAGTGCCTTTTGACCAATGAGGGAGATCTTTGATCTCCCCACCGGCCCATGAAGGCACACAGCAGGGACGGCGCTAGGGCTGGCAGGGAAGTTCCTGTGATCTCCCCTGTCTGCCCATGGATATCGCGGCCCACGGGGCATCAGCTCGCAGCTGCCATTACCGAAAGTTTTTTGCGTACCCCCTGGGGCACTGAATTGAACCCCATGGGGTATGCATACCACGGGTTGAGAACCCCTGTCCTAGAGGGTTCCCAAGATCCTATCATGGTATTAACCGACCACAAGAACCTCTTGTACCTTTGAGAAGTTAAACTGCTAAATTCCAGGCAAGCAACATGGTCTCTCTTCTTGTTCAGATTTAATTTTATAATCACTTATAGACCTGGACCACACAATGCCAAAGCTGATGCTTTGTCCAGGCAATTCGATGGGAATGAAGAGGAGAAGCCAGAGGAGATTTGTATCATTCCCCCAGAAAGAATCATAGCCACAACTTTCCTTTATTGTCTTTATTGTTAAGCCACATCATAGCTACTCAATCTGAGTCCTTTGACGATAAGCCTAGTGATAAACTGTTTGTTACCCCTACTGTCAGACAGGAAGTTATGTCCTTATGTCATGACAGCAAAACCGCTGGTCATCCAGTATAACCAAGACCACCAACCTTGTAACTCATGACTTCTGGTGGCCTTCCCTAAAGAAGGATATAAAGGACTATGTGCTTCATTGTGACAATTGTGCAGCAAACAAGACCATTCACCAGGTACCACGTGGATTGCTCCAACCTTTACCCATACCCACTAGACCCTGGTCCAACTTGTCTATCGACTTTATTGTAGAACTATTCCCTTCCAGTGGTCATTCTCATAGTCGTAGAAAGATTTTCTAAGATGGCTCAATTCATACCCCTGAGAAAACTCCCCTCCTCAGCAGAATTGGCTAGGATTTTCACCACAGAGGTATTCTGTCTACATGGCATACCGGAACAAATTGTATCTGACAGAGGTAGTCAGTTTCTCTCTCACTTCTGAAGGGGATTTTGCTCGCGGATGGTTATTAAATTGTCCTTTTCCTCCACTTACCATCATCAGACTAATGGAGCTGCTGAACGTGCCAACCAGTCTCTTGAGCAGTACACACATAGTTTTGTTTCTCATCACCAAGATGATTGGGTTGACCTGCTTCCTAGGGCTGAGGTTGCTCGCAATAATGCTACTCACAAACCCTCTGGATTCAGACCTTTTTACATAGTCTATAGTCGGCATCTTGTTGTTCTTCCAACTGCATTCTCCTCACGGGGATAAACACATGGCTGGATGAACACATGGCTGGTTTGCGTAGTACTTGGGAGCAGGTTCAACAATTATTGGCTAATGCTGCTCAGAGATAGAAGGTACAGACTGATAAGCATCACTGTACAGCTCCTTCCTATGTAGTGAGGGTTTAGCTGTCTACCCAAAATATCTGTCTCCGTGGACTATGTACCCTCCATGAAGTTCCCTTCTCATTTCTTTGGGCCTTTCCGCATCTGGACTTGCCTCATTCCATGCATATGCCGTACGTCCTTGTTGAAACCTCTGATCTGTAATCGGGTTACTAGACCTCGCACATCTCCACCTCCTGTATCGGTTGAGGGGTGGAGGAATATGAGATTGCTGTTGTCCTTGGCTCCAGGTTCCTGAGGGGGTAGTCTTTAGTATCTGGTCCATTGGAAGGGGTATGATCCTGGGGAACGTTCCTGGACCCCTCCGCTTGAAATCATGCTCCTTTCATCACAGTCACCCGGACAAGCCTGGTCCTTCACACGTATATCCTCCCGGAGAGGTAAAGTGACAATACTTACCACCTCCGAGCCACGCCTGCCGCGTGGCACACTGAGGTAAACTCACCTCCCTCGATCCTAGTCGACTTCCTGCCGCATGGTCCAATTGCCCCCGCGAACATGGGGCATTCTTGAAAAAACAGAGCTGTAGAGAATGTGTTGCAATCTTAAAATAATAAAAAAATAATAATAAATAAAGAATGCACAATACACGAGAATTAAGTGGAATTGGAAAAATTACTTTAGTGAACTTCAATTAATAGAATTTATAATTTTTTTTGAAAATTACCAATGCCTACATAGAAAAAAAAACATTTTCAAAAGTGGTCAGCCATGTCAATGGCATTGTAATCATGTAGTTTCACGAAACCCAGGTATGCATTGTCAGGTTGAGAAACTTTGTACAAATTGCATCAACAATACATGAGGGAATAGACCTGTGATTTTTTTGTCCAAGATAACCATGTAGCCATTCGCAGTATGCTGTCTTACTCATTTGCCCATAATGATAAAATGAGGAACGAGGTAAATGAGGTAACATTTTGAAAATGTATATAAAAATCCAGGTTAATCAATAAATACTGTACCTTAGCAGACTATTAAATACTAATTTAAAGTTGATAAGTCTCAGCCTGTGTTCTTTGGATATATACAAAGAAAAAAAAAAAAGACTCAACTGTTACTCCACCATAGGTATAGGATAATTCCCTACAGTCGTGATTAGTGACAGCCGGGGAAAATGAGAACATTTGGCTGTGGTAGGTTTACCTTATGATTAGGTTTTGCAGATCTTGGAAAATACTAATGGAAAATATTATATACTTTGTCTTAGTATATCTTTTGACTTAGCTGAAAGGTGGGGGTGGGGGGTTGTGGAAAAGAAGGTGAAGTGACATTTGAAATTTAAAATTTATAGAAAAAGATTCATGTTCAATAATGCTTGTGAAGGTTTTGAAGGCCTCTGGGACTCTACTACAAAGAAAAGATACCAAACATTTGTGAACTCATGTTATATGTACTTGAAGAATGCGTTATCCAGTATACACAGTGTATCTTTAAGACGACTGACCACATTAGAATTTTCTTAAGAATATATGTATTCCTCCACAGTTGGCAAAGTAATGCAGTTGCCACAGGTGCACCAAGTGGTATATCTAATTCTTCCTTCAACGACAGGGTGCCAGGACAAAATAGTGGCCTAACACGCAGAATTAAGTCAAACACAGAAAAATAATAAACTAAGAAAATACGTATTACCGGGCCTTAGAATGGACGGAATTTTGGGGCTATAAATCAAAATAATAATATGGGGAACATAGGGTTCCCCATGACATCACCCTTGACCAGTAGGAGGGGCTAAACTTAAAATGAATGGAGAGGACTTAGTGTCGCCCTCAGGCCACACTCATGGTTAGCAGATGGGGGTTCTGATTAATAAACGGGGGGAACCTAATACCTCCAAGTCTTCCACCCATTGGTGGCAGGTGGGGGCTATAATATTGATAACAGGAGAGTCCTAGTGTCCCATCTGCAGACTATGCTATGAGTGCCCTGGGGCCATATCTATTAAATATTTAAAAGTAGCCACAGGAATGCCATTGCTACTAATTTTATACAGGGACGACGACATAGTATCTTCCTCAGCCCCCCTCCCCCGTGGGCAGTGAGTGGGGGCTATTAGAATATTACTGGGGAGGGACCTAATGTTCCTCAGCCCATCTCCCACATGTGGGTAATAAAGGTGGGTAATAAAATAATAAAGCAAGGTAGGGGGGCTGGGGGGGGGGGCTAGTATACACTACACTAGCCCTTGATCAAAGAAAGAACATTGGAAAAAATTTAAAACCATAGCACGAAAAAGTAAATCTATCTTCTCCCCTTGAGGGCTACATGCTGTATGAGGCTTTTAAGCAGGTATAGCCTTTATAAAACTCCCCTACACTTTGAATTCCAGTGTACAAATAGTATGGAGTTTTCAAAATGAAATTTGAAGCATTTGGATATGGATTTCAGCCGTCTGTTTGACTAAAATCCGGATGTAATTCAGGCCTCAATTGCAAAATCCATACATTGTTAAACAGTGTGAACAATGTCTGAATGTTGCCGTCCACATGGTCTCATTTGCTTCTAGATGGTTTTGACCATTTTGGTACTGGGTTCAGACCTTTGTAAATGGCCCTATTAAAGATATCTTCTTAAAATTGCACATAACATTTTATACAGTACAAACAGCTACAGAAAAGATAATAAAGCACAATAAGTTTTCATCCTCTAAACGTGTAGAACATAGAAACATAGAAACATAGAAACATAGAATGTGACGGCAGATAAGAACCATTCGGCCCATCTAGTCTGCCCAATTTTCTAAATACTTTCATTAGTCCCTAGTCTTATCTTATAGTTAGGATAGCCTTATGCCTATCCCACGCATGCTTAAACTCCTTTACTGTGTTAACCTCTACCGCTTCAGCTGGAAGGCTATTCCATGCATCCACTACCCTCTCAGTAAAGTAATACTTCCTGATATTATTTTTAAACCTTTGTCCCTCTAATTTGAGACTATGTCCTCTTGTTGTGGTAGTTTTTCTTCTTTTAAATATAGTCTCCTCCTTTACTGTGTTGATTCCTTTATATATTTAAATGTTTCTATCATATCCCCCCTGTCTCGTCTTTCCTCCAAGCTATACATGTTAAGATCCTTTAACCTTTCCTGGTAAGTTTTATCCCGCAATCCATGAACCAGTTTGGTAGCCCTTCTCTGAACCCTCTCTAAGGTATCAATATCCTTCTGAAGATACGGTCTCCAGTACTGTGTACAATACTCCCAGTGAGGTCTCACCAGTGTTCTGTACAATGGCATGAGCACTTCCCTCTTTCTACTGCTAATACCTCTCCCTATACAACCAAGCATTCTGCTAGCATTTCCTGCTGCTCTATTACATTGTCTGCCTACCTTTAAGTCATCAGAAATAATCACCCCTAAATCCCTTTCCTCATATGTTGAGGTTAGGACTCTATCAAATATTCTGTACTCTGCCCTTGGGTTTTTACGTCCAATATGCATTATCTTGCACTTATCCACATTAAATGTCAGTTGCCACAATTCTGACCATTTTTCTAGTTCACCTAAATCATTTGTCATTTGGCTTATCCCTCCTGGAACATCAACCCTGTTACATATTTTAGTATCATCAGCAAAAAGACATACCTTACCATCAAGACCTTCTGCAATATCACTAATAAAAATATTAAAGAGAATGGGTCCAAGTACAGGTCCCTGAGGTACCCCACTGGTGACAAGTCCAAGCTTCGAATATATTCCATTAACTACAACCCTCTGTTGCCTGTCACTCAGCCACTGCCTTACCCATTCAGCAATATTTGAATCCAAACTTAAAGATTGCAGTTTATTGATAAGCCTTCTATGTGCAACAGTGTCAAAAGCCTTACTGAAATCTAGGTAAGCAATGTCTACTGCACCACCCTGATCTATAATTTTAGTTACCCAATGAAAAAAATCAATAAGATTTGTTTGGCATGATCTCCCTGAAGTAAACCCATGTTGTCTCTGATCTTGAAATCCATGTGTTTTTAGATGTTCATCAATCCTATCCTTTAACATGGTTTCCATCACTTTCCCCACTACTGAAGTAAGGCTTACTGGCCTATAGTTGCTCCTCCCTATTACCTTTCTTGTAAATGGGCACAACATTCGCTAACTTCCAATCTTCTGGGACTACTCCTGTTAACAATGATTGGTTAAATAAATCTGTTAATGGTTTTGCTAGTACACCACTAAGCTCTTTTAATAGCTTTGGGTGTATTTCATCAGGTCCCATTGACTTATTTGTCTTTACTTTTGACAGTTGAAATAGAACCTCTTCCTCTGTAAACTCGTGTAATAAATGACTCATTTATCCTTTTTCTCAACTGAGGTCCCTTTCCTTCATTTTCATCTGTAAATACAGAACAAAACTATTCATTGAGGCAGTCAGCTAGACCTTTATCCTCTTCTACATACCTTCCTTCTTTTGTTTTTAATCTAACTAATCCTTGTTTTACTTTTCATTTCTCATTTATGTATCTAAAAATGTTTTATCCCCTTTTTTACTGACTGTGCTATTTTCTCTTCTGTGTGTGATTTGGAAGCTCTTATAACTTGCTTAGCCTCTTTCTGCCTAATCTTATAGATCATTTTGTCTCCCTCACTCTGGGTTTTTTATAATTCCTAAATGCTAACTTTTTGTTTTTAACTATTTTGGCCACATCTGCGGAGTACCACAGTGGTTTCTTGAATTTTTTGCTTTTACTGACAAGCCTAATGCAATTTTCTGTTGCCTTCAATAGTGCAACTTTTAAATAATCCCATTTTCTTGGACTCCATTTAAATTGCTCCAGTCTGATAATGACTCCTCTACACATATTCTAATTTTAGAAAAGTCTGTTTTTCTAAAGTCTAAAACTTTTGTTTTTGTGTGGTGTGACTCAGTCACTGTTTCTTATATTAAACCACACTGACTGATGATCACTGGATCCTAAACTTTCACCTACAGTAATATTTGATACCAAATCTCCATTTGTTAACACTAAATCTAGTATGGCCTCTTTACGAGTTGGCTCCTCAACAACTTGTTTTAGAGACAATCCCAGTAGGGAGTTTAGAATATGTGTGCTCCTGGCACAAGTAGCTAATTTTGTTTTCCAATTTACATCAGGAAGATTAAAGTCACCCATGATGATAACTTCCCCCTTCATTGTCATTTTAGCTATTTCCTCAACTAGTAGATTATCTAACTCTTCAATTTGTCCAGGGGGCCTATAAATCACACCTACACGAGTTACTGTGTGATTACCAAATTCTAACGTAACCCAAACGGACTCTATGTTTGCCTCACTAACTTTTATTAGGCTAGATTTTATGCTATCCTTCACATACAAGGCCACCCCTCCCCTTTCTTGCCTTCCCTATCTTTCCTATATAAAGAGTACCCTGGTATTGCTATGTCCCAGTCATTTTTCTCATTGTACCATGTCTCAGTAACAGCGACTAAATCTACACTATCAGTTGCCATTATTGCCACAAGTTCATGGATCTTATTCCCTAAACTGCGAGCATTTGTAGACATGACTCTAAGCTTATCATTTTTTAACATGGTGAAGGGGCACTGGCATCCACTGTATAAGGGTGCATCTTTGTTTCATCTTTAAACTCCAGCTATTTTCAGAAACGTTTCCACGAAGTTCAGCCGTCCAATTCAAGTGACAAAGCTTAGCCTTCATTTTCTAGGTGTATAGAAATATAATTGAGTTCTGAACATTGGCTGTTAAACAATTAACTTTTTATTTCTTCATTTGCTTTTTATCACATCAGTATATCTGTTTATACTGGATTATTTTTTGTTATTATAGGATTAATGTTTCATGAAACATGATTGTCTAGCTATTTAAAGCCATACTGTTTAGACAACATCTTATAATTTATCAGTCCTAATATGCACTGTGCAGTCCAAAATGTTGACTTTTCAGATTTGTATGAGCAGAAACATGTTTTGTCAGATGAAAGACAGCATTTTCAGCTTTTTCATGGATGTAAATGTTTCCTAAGGCAATTGTAAACATTTACTGCTAAAGGTCAGTAATTACCTTTTATAATGTGTACTTTGCCTTGATTTTTTTTTTTTTAACATCAACTATGATTTTGTGAAAAAAAACATTGTATCTATTTTTATGATAATTTTTTTGAACCGTAACCCAGATACCAGGGTAAAAAGAGATAAAATCTATGACCAAGAAGGTGATAATTTCTTCAATACCTCTTTGACATTTCTTATTTAGATAATTACTTATATGTTCCCTTACAAAGATATATTTAATATTTTTTATTGTTGTGAAGTGGTCATATACTACCAAAATTAGTCAGAGTGTGCAGTATAAAATATACATTCAAGAATTGCTTGGATGATGAGACATGTGTAGTGAGGTGTGGGTCTGGTAAGTGTAGGGTGATGTAAGTGGTTAGAACTCTTACATTATAGACAGGCCCGTACTCGCCATTGGGCAAATCTGGTAAATCACAGGATCTCACCTGCTGTCCCGTGCAGATATAGTGTTATCAAACCAATGGCCCTGCTGTGTGTCTTCATTGCCAGTGGGGAGATCAATAATCACCCTCACGGGCCCACAGCCACTGAAATGGGCAGCCAGCATGGAAGGAAGAGGAGAGAAAAGAGAGACGACCTAAGGAGTTATAGCCAGCAGTTACAACGGCAAAGCTCCTATTTTGAGAGAATGAACTCTAACTGGAGGAGCTGCAGAGTAGAGTTTACTTACCACAAGTACCACCAGGGCTTCACAAGTAATGCCCCCTTTTCATGAGCAAAGGTAAAAAGGTAAGGAAATAAAAGAGGGATATAAACTATATTTTTTTAATGTTGACCTCATCCAAGGAAGTGCTATAATCTGACCAACTGCACCCCAAACACACACTGCACCCCAAACATACACACTGCACGCTTCAAACTCACTGAACCCCAAACACACACACATTGCACCCCTCACACACACACACAGCACCCCTCACACACACCTTATCCCTCACATACACATTGCACCCTTCAAACACACACACTGCACTCCTCACACATACATTTCACCATTCACATACACACACACACACAATGCGCCCCTCTAACACACAAGCTGCACCCTACACACACTTCATCCTTCAAATACATACTACACCCCTCACACACTGAATCCTTCACACAGATTACACCGCTCACACACACATACACTACAGCCCCTATGCACACACTCATTACATCCCCTATACACACTTTCTCTCTCACTCTCACTCTTGAAGAATGAGACTCCTGGGGAATGATCTATGTAACGGACCGTTTTGAACACAAGGGGTAAAAACCATTTAGTAGATCTTCCCCTTCCAGATGCACAGGCACAGATACTGCAGAACACCAATCCGCCGAACAGGAAACCATATGAATGCTGTAAACAGCCGAATAGGAAAAACCATCCGAATAGGTTTACACTCCTAGCAGTCAAACTGGAACAGCATACAGTAAATCCCCCCAAAGATGAGACAAGGCTCCGTGTTGAGGGTCAAGCAGTGAACAGACAGAGCTGTGGGTTTATTGTGCTTATGTACACATTCTTACACATTAGTACCACCCACAGGGTTTTGGAACACAACCAATAAACACATACAATACACTCAGACACTCCCACATAAATTCCTCCCCTCTGCATGTGATTCAATTACCTTACACAATGGGTAATGTAATTTAGCACAAGCAGAGAAATACAATTTATCCACATTATTCATAACTTGAAAAGTATGCATCACATTCCCATAAAACATTACATTTTCAGAATCAGCATACTCCAAATACAAACATACGTCAAAATCATACAAATTGGTCCAGTGGTTCAAAAGATAGATCGTAGTCCTTTGTGACCACAGGAAGCATGGCTTTTCTGCCCAAAACCAGTTCCACAGAGTCTTCTATCCTGGAGATAATTAGAGGTAATCCAATTATCTCCAAAGACAGAGGCAAAACTCCATTGAACACATGGCAGCAAAAAGACAGTAAAATACAATAAAATACACAAAGTTACATTTATGACATAAAATACAGACATGCAACATATGCCCAGATAGCTTAGTCTGAGCGCACATTAATACTGAATGGCGCTCAGAGAACACACATACAGTTCAATTGCCATGGAGCCAAAGTCTTTTATTACATGAATAGGCTCCATGGCATACCTATCTGGGTTATATGAGTTCATTCAGTAAATCCGAGAATCTACCAAACACCGGGCAGAAAAGTACGAATAAGACTTTTCTGCAGTGAAAAAGATGTCTTTTAACATGGGGGCCATAGTCCAAAGGCAGCAGGCAAGCAACCAGGCTTCTCCAATGCAATGTGGCAAGATTGCTCTCGTCACAATCTATATACTAAAACAGCTTATTTAATCTGAGTTGTTTTGGTGCTTAGAGCATGCCTTTAATATTATTGTGTGATTATTTTCCTTGTAAGCAATACTTTAATAACCACTTGTGATTTTGTTTATTTGTAATGACATGCTCAAAATCTTTTACTTCATACATGATATCATAGGTCAATGTAAAGCCAATTGGTGATATCGGAAATCTTGGTTGAACAGACTTAGTATGTATTATTATTATTTTTTTTCAAAAATGCCCTAAAATCATGATATCACAGCAGCATCTGTATTAAAATGTCATTGTTTAAAATATTATTCCCTTTCTATATAGCCCTAAACAACTAGTACAACTATTGAATTATAACCAGTTCAATTTAGTACATAACCAATCACAAAACTCATCAGC